GGCCCAACAGGGCCACCTCAGACACCATCACGGCTGCCCTTTATTATTCCCTTTCTCACCTAGAAAATGGAGACTCCTACATCAGGATAGTCTTCATTGACTACAGCCCCACCTTCCACACAGTTGTCCCCCACAAACTTACCCACACTGGGTCTGCACACCAACCTCTGTGACTAGCTCCTAGACTTTCTGACTGGCAGTCCCCAGACTGTCAGGACTGGCAAAAGGATTTCAGCCAGCATTGTTACAAACACTGGCACCCCACAGGGATGTGTCCTCAGTCCCATCCTCTACACCCTGTTCACCCACGACTGTGTCGCCTCCCACAAAGACAACATCATTCTAAAGTTCACGGACGACACCGCAGTGATAGGTCGCCTCACTGGCGGGGACGAAGGAGCCTACAGGAGGGAGGGGGGGGGGCTGGGGGACAATAATCTCAGCCTCAACATGGACAAGACGAAGGAGATGATAGTGGACATGTGGAAGGAGAGGAGATCTCATTGGCCACTGTTCATCTGGGGGCTCAAAGTGGAGAGGGTGAGCAGCTTCAAATACATACCTGGGTGTCCACATCAGTGAGGACCTCACTTGGACACTTAACACCACACAGCTGAAGGCCCGACGGCAGCTGTACTTCCTGAGGAGGCTGAGGAGGTTTGGCATGTCGCCTAGGATCCTTTGCAACTTCTACAGCTGCATCGTTGAGAGCATTTTGACCAGTTGCATCACTGTCTGGTATGGCAGCACTACTGCTATGGACCGTAAGCGCCTGCAGAGAGTGGTAAAGATTGCGGAGAAGATCACCAGGACTCCACTGCCCTCTCTGCAGAGCATTTACCACCGCAGGGTGCGTAGGAAAGCTGCCCCCATCCTCAAAGATCCCACCCACCCCCAGCACGGACTGTTCATCTCCCTACCCTCTGGCCGAAGATTCAGAAATGCGATATGCAGGACCACTAGACTGAAAAACTCTTTCTTTCCCTCTGCCATCAGACTCCTAAACAGCTGAGGAGTTTGTTACCAGGAAATACGTGTTGTACTGTTTACATTCCGTTTGCACATGCATAATTGCACATTGACTACTGACTGCTGCACATGCTGCTCCCATGCAGCATACATTCTCTTATTATATTCTTATATATTTTTATTATATTGCTGCATTTGCTGCTTAAAGTGCCTTAGATTTTGTGTTACTTATTCATCTACTTTATATTTCATTTGTATTTTGTGGCATTCATTTGGATGGCAAAATAAGAATTTCATTGTACAGGGAAACGCGTTTCCTAACTGTGCATATGATAAATAAACACTTTGACCTTGACCTTTGACAAGTGAAAACGGAGATTAATCAGATGCATACATATGCACAGATAAAATCACACAAATAATGAACATATTACATATG